TTCCTGCTGCAATATCCCTGTTTCCATATTAAACCACATTCATCAACCTCCCATCTTTTTCTTCCCCTTTCTACAGAGCATCATAAAGGGCATATGTAATACAATAAACTAACCATGGACCCCCGAACCCAACTTGGTAAAAGACATCAAGCCTCCCACACGCAATTCCGCAAAGGTTCAGCGCACATGACCCGCTCATCCTTATCGACCTCACCTGTTTAAAATAAAACTCCATGCTATGACGCCCTTTGCCTACAGACAGACAGAGCATCACATTCCAATATCCTTTTTTAACTTCACCTTAGTAAGCAAGCTGTTGATACTGTTCGTAGACGCGTCTACTGTGGCCTTATCTCGTTCATAACCCACCTGCTCAAGTTTTCATTTTAATAGTTAGCAGCTCGATATTCCAGTCATGGCTAAGCTATAGTACTATACTACTTTCTCGGGCTACAAGAATACATACCTCCGCTGCCAGGAGAGACTTCACAAGTTCACTCTGAGATGCCACTGCAAAAGATTTCAGAGCTTATGATTGTACAAAATAACATAACTCAAATCTCACGAGCACTCCTAAAATTCATTAAGACCCATCACCAAAGACCAAAGGATGAGCTTTAACATCCAGAGAGAAGATACGATCTGCACAATTGTTTGGACTAAGTGAGTGTTTGCTAACCTTTTATCGGTTTGCCATTCAGAAAGGCTCCTTTTCCTTGGACACCAGTGAAAAGCTGTTTATCACAAGAAATCGTGATTAAATCAACAGGTTGTTTCAGGTCGTGCAATTCTAATCACCTTTCACCATTTGCATGGTTAGAAAATCATCGACAATTTATGCAAAATGCTTGAGATAGGATCAAGTAGAGAAACGTGAAGCAGAGACTGCTGAAATCTCTACGAATGAGGATAAAAAAGGATCAGAATGTCGGCACTGCAGTGTACAAACAGTGGTTTCACAAGGAGGATGAAGATCTCTCACCTCATCCATTATAGGATTGTAAACGACACCAACGGTAGGAACTTTCCTGATGGTAAGGCCAATGGATACACAAAGGAACGGGAATCTGTAGATTGGGTAATTCTATGTAAGAGTATAAAAAAGGAGAAACGGAAAAAAGTTTATATAAGCCCATAAAATTTAGATAGGAACATGCCCGTGAACGAAGTTGGTAGTTCCATCGAGAGGATCAACAATCCATGTAGGTTCATCCGTCAGTTCTGTCACGCCATATGCAGCAGCAGTTTCTTCCCCTATGAACTATCATGAAGCCGTAAATCTTAAGGAAAACGGAAGGAGATAATATCCAGCCAGCCAGCTATAACGTGAGTATATCCACAGGGATTTATGCACGAGGATTCACCTTGTGATCAGGGAACTGCTGCTTGAGATGATTAAACACGACTTCTTCGCAGGTCTTGTCGGTCTCTGTAACCAAATCCACCTGCAAACAGCAGATAATGATTTGTACCCGACATCAGGCATATTCAGCATTTGGTCACCCCCAAGTAATGTAAAACTAACAAGTGATGAGATTGTTTTCTTCGTCTGTAATCAAACCCACCGAGAAAACACCAATGCAGGAACAACGAACTCTCTCTTAATTCTCTAATATAACGAAATCCGACAAGTGAATCAAACATCCAACCATTCGCCGTTTCGGGAAGCCTCAGTTAACAGATTCAACGAAATGGGATCAAAACAGAGCAGAGAAAGAGAAGAGGAAAGAGGAATACCTGCCCTTTGTGTTCGACGTGCTTGCTTTGGTAAAACCCCTTGCGGATAATCTACAGAAAGGGATCAAAGGAGACAAAATAAAACAATGCCCAAAAAAAGTAAAAAAGAAAGGAAAGGAAGATGATAAAAGGGGAGGAAATAAATCAGAGAAAAACCTCTCCAGCAACTTTGGCGGCATCAATGGCGACGGCCAGCAAGTGATCCAGAGATCCTTCAGCAAATGAAAATAAATCAGGAGCAGGGAAGAGGTGCAATGGGAGGGAGAGTACAAATATGAGTGAGTTTTGATGCCTTACCATCGGCTGACATTTCCAAGCTTGGGGAAGAAGAATCGAGAGCCAAAAGAGATTATTTTAAAAAAAAAAAAAGAAAAATACGGGAGGGGTGGAGGTGGACGAGAGAGGCTATCCCTTTACAATGGGAATGTGCTTTCCAGAGGAAGGAATAGCCGAATAGGTTAGGTTAAGGACTCGGCCTCCCACTCAAATTCCCATGTTAAAACCTTCATCTTTACATGGATTGTCCATTTCCAAAAAGGAATATTCCCCTTATTACCATGTATTATTCACATATGTATGTACATATATAGCCTTTTCCCTCTCTGTGTTCACGGAACACACAACAATAATATCCAACCACAAATCTCACTATTCCATCTCACCAGTACTCTCACCAGAATATATATATATAAAGCCACCATTACACATAATACATATCCGTTGAATACAACATACCTTCCAAATAAGGCCGTTTATTATCAATTATCTTTTTTACTCTAAAAAAACAAAGCAATAGCCCTTAACAATGTGTCCGGGCGAGCAAGAAAAACTTGAAAAAGGTCAAAAACGTGAATGAGAGAATAATCAGAGGAGTATAATCTCAAACCTTTGGAGAAGCGTGTCGTTATCTATAAGTTAGGCGTCAGGTGTGATGTTTTCATCTTGGTTAGGGGATGTGAGGCATTCTATTTCTTTCAACACTGCGTACTTGTCTGCCTCAAACCCTTCATCCTCTGCAACACATAAAATACCATTCACAGCCCAAGAAATTGCATCATAGCTTTGTCACAGTTTTTATGTGTCTTCATTCCCCAAGCAGATATTCACATCCAATCCAAGAAATCATACCTTTCTCCAGTTTCAAGTTCGCAAGTAATCGGATAATCTTGCTCCGGTTCGCCACCAATATTGCTACGATGTCCTGAGGTTTGTTCTCCTTAGCAACAAACAGCTGCACAAATTCCACATTTTACAGTTTCATTAAAAACAAATTGCTTTACATGAAATTATGCCTTTTCTTTACTCCTTTTCTTATCATTCACCTTGAAAATATAGAAGGCTTCTAATTTGATGTTCTTTGTGGGCTCCTGTGAAACAGCATAGATTCTACGTCTTAACACTCCCTCAGAAGATCCATCATATATCTCGTTAAACAGAGAACACCCTTTCTCTCAAAAAGTTTTCTTACTCTGAGGAGGTTCATCATGATTCTTAGATTATCCTTGGAGCTCACGTATCTCATCATCACCGAAAAATTGGATCGGTCCATCAACACATCTCCCAACAACTGCAATGTCCAACAACATACATCCATCAGAAAATAACTATATGGTTGAGATCAAGTGTTTCAACTCGAATCCAACCTTGGCGGCCTGTCTCTTCGTTATGTAACTTCCTTTCTCTAGCAATCTCGTGTTGTACTCGGTGAAAAACTGGACCAACAGAAGCCGATTCATATGACACTCTCAACAGATTGTTCATGAAAACAAAAAAGCCTGAGTTAGAATAACACTCACCCAGCCATAGTTCTTAGCGAGGTACTCAGATACAGTAGATCTATGCCTTGTCAAGAGTTCCTGCACCAAAGAGAAAAATCCCGACACTAAAAAGGATGCGAAACCAAAAAAAAATTAAAAGGTGCTGAATGGAAATTGATGATAATAACCCTGAAAATTCTATGAGCATCAGCAGCCACGTCGAAGGATGGAAGCTGGACATAGTCGAAGAACTTCTCCAAATATTTTGACTCTAGTATATATCTATGACAAGACAACTTATACTCGATCATATGCATAAAGATATGCAAAATGGATTGTAGTCTTCAACTAAAGATTCTGAACAGGTGGATTTACTTTGTAATGACCTGGTGACGCACGCATTCCTTCAACATTCCACTGTAGTGTAAAGCCAAATCTTCATTTTCGAAGCTGAAACCAGCAACCATCAAGATTCAAGACATATTCCAATTGTTCCCCAAAATCCGAGAGAACTTCCTATTGAATAGCTTACCCTTCAACAAGCATATCTATAACATCCAAGTTTGCTTCCAGATAATCCAATGCAATTAACCGCGACTGAACTTGTTGCCTCTGCAGATTTGCTACAATCTGAGAGGCATCTTTTCGGGCCTGCAAAACATCAAACACAGATGTATGATTGAAGGAAAACCCAAAATCTCCATATATACTGATTATGCTGTGAAAAAAAAAAAGACCACAGTAATTACCTCCAGATCTAGCATTGGAAGACACATGATCAAGGGACGCAATGTGTCTTCCCTAAAGAATTCCTGAGTGAGCTGCGAACAAGCTTCAGGAAAAGGTTCCGCATCACCATTTCCATAAAGGATCAACTTCAAATGCCTAACGTTTTTGCACAATTCGGTCATCTGCGTGCAAAGGAACATTTTCCATGAAACTTGTGACAAAGGCAAACTTCTAGAGATCACTTTGGTGTCTTCTTGGTTTCTGAAGATGCAATTTCCATTAACACATTCAAAATCATGTGATTAGGCTTAGCAAATAATTCAGCTACATCATTAGGATATGATAATTCAGAAACTAGCAAAACCTGCGTGATCGCCGGATGCATGTTCGAAAATACAGCATTTTTTTGTTTTTGTTTTGATGAAATCGAAAATACAGCATTACGCGATCGTTCCCGAAAATATTCTTGTCAAACGATGCAGAGGAAAAACTGAATCGAAACCTTGAAGATATCAGATATCAGATACTCACCTTCTCATCATCGCGCTTGGAAGTCCGGTGATCGGAGGTGGAAACAGCGAAGGCGAGGAGATCGCGCGTGTGACTTACGAGATCGGCCGGGGAGCGAGGCTTGGGCTTGAAAAGAATCTTCATCCTCTTGCTCTCTTGACTGAGAAGGCTACCGCTGAAGGAAATACTGACAACGTCGTCGTGGTCCTCCGCCGCCGTATCACGATGGCGGGGGGG